CTATCCATCATCTATTGGGTTATATTTGTTGATGTAAGTCATCAAGTTGTCAAACATCAGTTTATTTTAGTTTAAAATATATATAAGAAACCATAACAACGTCTTCCGTGGCCCAACAATGAATCGTTACAATTCAGTGACTGGAAAATACTTGATTTCAAGTATTATGAAAACAACAAAGTGTGGATGTCGTATCATTGAGAAAGCTAGAAATTCTATTCAAACCCAATTTTTAAATCACTTGTTTGACTCATGATGAATAACACCGTTCAGTGGCCATTAAAAGCACCCAATCCATAAACTCAGTCACATGAATTATGTTGGTGCAAAAGGAAGAGAGATGACCATCTCAACTTAAAAACAATTGTGTGTGTGTGCGTGCGACAAATAAAAGTTGTACAAAACACCTCGTTAATCTGTGTTTTCTTACATATCATGATAGCAGCAACAAGACTTCTCTGAGATGAAAAAATACAATTAATTACTGATATTTGAAAACTTGATCACTGAACACGAATAACAGGTTTAAATATATACAAAAACTACAAACTTGCCTTAAAAATACTCTTACCTTCCAAAGTGTAAAGTAGCTTGTTTTAATATTTTACACAAATGTTATCGTGTTTATTGTCAGATATCCAAACCTCCACTAACAGTAACTTAATATTATTACTAGGTTTACAATTCTACATGACCAACAGAATGTTATACAAGATACAATAATAAGAAATAAAAGAAAACAAACACACACACACACACACATATATATTCCATTAGCTAATGGAGAATTATATGATGTTAAAAGCTGGTTTTTTTCCCCGAAAAATAACTGAAAACACACGTACTTCTTGAGAAATTTCATGATATCTATTAAAATCACAGCATAAAACCTTTCAGAACTGATTATAAGGACATATCTAACAGGATATAATTTACAAATATTAATTTTCACGGTCATGGTAATTTCAGAACATCACTCTTTTATTAAAATGTATGAATTTCTTGATAAACCATTCACCAGGGAATTGACAGAAATAAACTTTATGCTATGAACATTTGCTAATGTTACCAAGTAAAACCTTCAATGAAGTAAAAACGTCGTAACACGGGTAACCTACAACTTCATTTTCCAATCAAACAGAGCACCACTGTTGTGTAAACCTACTTGGGATGGCCCGAACAAACGTGGATTGCAAATTGGTCCTCGGAGTCAAAACCTTTATGACAAGTTGCACAGATTAATTGGATTAATTCTCTGTCCTTTGACTGTTTCTGTTCTCCCTCAAGGGTCAGGCTAGATGATTCTTCTGTAACTGACTGTTTCTCTTCTGCTGCAGCACATATTTCTGGGGATTAAATATTTACAATCAACACAAAACATCTTAACGTTAAGAGATATGGTGCCTGACACAAAACATCTTAACATTAAGAGATATGGAGCCTGACATAAAACATCTTAACGTTAAGAGATATGGTGCCTGAAACACAAAACATCTTAACATTAAGAGATATGGAGCCTGACATAAAACATCTTAACGTTAAGAGATATGGTGCCTGAAACACAAAACATCTTAACGTTAAGAGATATGGAGCCTGATACAAAACATCTTAACGTTAAGAGATATGGAGCCTGACACAAAACATCTTAACGTTAAGAGATGTGGAGCCTGACACAAAACATCTTAACATTAAGAGATATGGAGCCTGACACAAAACATCTTAACGTTAATAGATATGGTGCCTGACACAAAACATCTTAACGTTAAGAGATATGGAGCCTGACACAAAACATCTTAACGTTAAGAGATATGGAGCCTGACACAAAACATCTTAACGTTAAGAGGTATGGAGCTTGACACAAAACATCTTAACGTTAAGAGATATGGTGCCTGATACAAAACATCTTAACGTTAAGAGATATGGAGCCTGACACAAAACATCTTAACGTTAAGAGATATGGAGCCTGACACAAAACATCTTAACGTTAAGAGATATGGAGCCTGAAATGCAGAATTTAATATAATGCATTATTTTACATAAACTACACAAAATGTGGGCTGAATGCCTAAGAGTGTGTCCAAATATGAGACTGAGCCATCTACCAAAAAACTTAGTGTTTTATAAATCTTACCAAGTGGTTATAAAATCAAACAATACATCCAAAGTTTACTATAAAAACATCAATACGTACCTGAAAAACACTCAACAGGTTCAAGTATAAGGTAGATACAGTATATGTGAACGTATTACAACCATCTATCACTATAAATTAAACAAAGTGTACAACTATCCATATTTATCTACAGTGGAAAATTATTTTTTTAAGCATTTTTGTAAAATGTTGCTAATAATTTTAACAACAGAAAATGTTTACAACAAAAGTACAGTTCAGTACGTGGTCTTCTGTATATCAAGACATTTTCTCAATTATTAACTCCAAAAGGTGAGAAAGAGAATAAAACAAATATGTGGGAGAAGGCAACAGTAGTGGTAAAATGAGTGGACCAAAAAAAAATGGTAATAAAATATAGACATATTAGAACCAATTACATAAATCTAAATATGTGAATCAATTTATTTACTAATTTACTGAAATTATGAAATATTATCTTACCAGTTGCGACTTGTTCATTTACGGTTTGTTGTCCGTGAGTTTCCAAGTGTTTCTCTAGCTGTTGTTTCTTAAAAAAAGCTGTTATAATACAAAAACAACAACCATTTCAGTTCTTTAAACCCTCTCTACGGTATAACCTGTAAAAAAAACCTACTGACTTCTATAAATAATGCTTTAAAAAATAAGACTACTTTAAATCCTAAAAAACAACTGCCGAGCTCTCATGATTGAACTATTACCTCAGTATGTTGGTCAACATGCTCTCTTTTACACAGAGGTCACATTAGTTAACATGTTCACTTAAAACATACTGTAGTACATGTGACTTGAGTGGTGCTTTGATACTTGCCATCTTGTAAACAAATCAATACTGTATTGTTATGTGTATATTGCAACCAATCTTTACCATAATTCAAATGTCACATCAAAAGAAACTATAAGGTTATATGTATATTGCAACCAATCTTTACCATAATTCAAATGTCACATCAAAAGAAACTATAAGGTTATGTGTATATTTCAACCAACCTTT